AACTCCACCAACACTAGACAATGCTGTTGAACACCAAAGTCCATGTTAGATTGTAGCACCTCATCTGCTTTTCCACAGCGGACTGTTTCCTTCTACATCTGTCTTCTTTTCAACATGAGGTCTTAAGTAGATCAAAAGCATTTGTTCTTCCTTGTCTTCTTCCTTCTTTCTTCTACTCAAATGTGCTGTTTAAGCAGATGGACAGTCTTAAGGTAGGTAGGAAAAGCTATATACCTCAGCTATATCCGCTGGTAAACAAAACTGACAAATGTTTAGAAAATTAAAAAGCAGAAGGGGCAAAAAACCCTAGATAATTTCTTTAGCAGTGTTTCAAAATATTATTTGATATTTGCTTTAGAGAAATACATAAATTCTCTGCACAGGGAATTATAGAGCTGTAAGACACATAACTTGGATTATAAACACTACGCTTCAATAGCAATTGGCAAATCTCACTGATACAAGTCCTGCCAGCAAATACCATAATCACAATAATGGAGTGACCTCTATACAGCATCTTTCCATCCAACAACCTCACCAAAAAAACCTCCTGAGACAGTAAAAAGGAAGCCTGACCAAAGACTAGTCTAAAACTGCACAACTAAAGCTAAGGGTCTATAATATAACCTAGTTTCCAGGTGCTAAATCAAAACCAAGACAAGTGAATTAGCAACACAACAAATCCATCCCTTCTTGCTTCTAGAATCCCATGCTACAGGAGGAAAAAGTTCTGTGCTAGCATTTATTTCTAAAACACCACAGAAGTGTAGTGCAGATAAGCTGTGACTGGTTTAGCTTTGCTGAATGTTTAATAACAGTTTTTGCTTCCTCCTCATAAAAGAAAAAGTTAGAAATATCAGAAGAATGAACACTAAGTCATTAGCAATGCCTTTTCTGCCCCCAGCATGTTTTACAATGACCAAGGAGGAAATGCTTTGGACCTGAACAGCCTCAAGCCAGAAGCAATCACTACAAAACAACAAGCACACATAACAGCTTGATCCATCAAAATGCATTCAAGGCTGGACCAAAACCCATTAATTCCACAGAACCAGAAACCTACCAATGTCAACATATGCTAATACAACTACTCGCTTCAGAAGTCAATGTCTTCTATGTCTGACTACACATGTTCAGTTCCACTTTTCAGAGAGAAAGTACTATAAGTGGCACACGTACTGAACTCTCTTTCCAGACAAAAATCTGAGTCACAAGATTTGAAAGCTCCCAGTTTGCCCACTTCCTGTTTTTCACAGGAGGCATTACTTGTCTGTACCATGAGAGTCTCTTCCTCCAGGGCGTATCTCAAAGGGAACATTCCAGTAGGTTTGCAGGCATATCTAAACTATACTGCAAGTCAAGCTGCCAAGAAACCAAAACCAGTTTTAGAACCAGTAAAGCCATCGTCAGCTGTAGTGCTTTCAGAATATGAACAAGTACCCGTGGTACAGCCCTTCACTGATAGCAGCTGGTCCACACATTTCTGGGTGGCTCAGACTCACAAAAGAGCTTTGTGTTCTCACAGTATGGTATGCAAGATTTGTTCAGAATGCTGCCTACCTTCACCCTGTAAGAGCAGATACAAAAATAGGTTTGGCTCTCCTGGTTTCCCTTTACTTATTTTTAAGATGATGCAGTCCATGACTTTTAATCATCATTGCTGTTTTGCAGTATCTGGATGTTGTTGATTCACACTCCACTCTCTCCCCAGACAAAAGTAGTCTTTGGTGTGAAGAACTGTAGCACAGCCCTCAGCCTTCACCTTTGGATACAGACACTCCTGAAAGCAACACAGGCTGCTTGTACAGAAAGAATGTTTTTAAAACACATGAAAAGCCAGGAGGACATTATATTAATATTCACTTTCAGGTAAGTCAACTTATAAGGCAGGTTGCACTGTTACAACTTTTAGTTACCAGCAGGAAACTGTCTGATGCTGCTTTTCTCCCTTCTGTTTTTTTTTTTTCAATCTTACAATTAGACAGAAGACACTAGAAACAGTGCTTGACCATTTCATTTATAATGGAGCAATAATTGCAAGCAAAGCTCACACCTCATTCCCTAAAACCAGGACTTTATTCCATCACCTTTTCCGTAAGTGTTGACTCAAAAGCTTAGGAACATGTAGGAAACAGACTGATCCAAACACTTTTATTTAAGTAATAGTTGTCCAAGACACTGTAACAACAGATTCTAGCAACAGAGACAGGCATTGATTTAGAAAATAGTTCTTGCAAAACATTTTCTTTTTTTTTTCCTGTCCTCCATACTGTAAACAATATTAAGCTTAATTTCAAGAAATGTTTGAAATTTGGATTACTTCAAGCAATAGTTACTATTACTGAGTAACTAATTCACTCTATAGGACAAAGAGATTAAATCCCTACTTAACATTCTATCTGAACTTCCCAGATGACCTACTATAAAAAAAAAAACAACACATGCTTTCTTAAGAAGAGATTTACAAGAGACATTTGAGAAATATTGGGAAAATTTCTACATTGGCATTTCCTCTAAGTAAAAATCAAAAATGGATAGCATGAGCAATAACTTATGCACTGGATGCTAAACATCTGAACTGCCATTTTGTCAAGAGCAAGACTCTGTTGTCTGACTGCACACCTTTGAGAAGCAACTGACTCCATTTTCTCTGTACTCTCCTACTGGACATTGCTGTCTGCAACTAGAATCTTCCATGAGCCTTCTCTTCTTAAAGCTGAAGAAACCCAGTCTTCCCAATCTCTTCTCATACATTGTGTGCTCCAAAACCATCTTGGCTCTCCACTGGACTCACTCCATTACACCAACCTCTGTCTTTTCCTGTGGAGTCCAAAAAAGGACCAAAGCTGGATTACTGGACACAGCATTCCAAACACCATCTCACAAGTACTACACAAAGAAGAAGGATCATTTTCCCAGACCTGCTGGCTGCACTCTTGCTAACACAGCCCAGGATGCAGTTTGCCTTCTTTGCTACAAGACTTCACTGCTGACTCATGCTCATTTCTTGTCTACCTCAATCCCAAAATCTTCTTCTGCAAAGTTGCTTTCTACTCAGTCTGCCCACACTCACCCTTAACACTAGCTGAAGTTATGCCAATCCTAGGATTTTGCATTTGCCTTTGGTAAATGTCATATGGCTTCCATTACCCCTTTTTCTCGTCTATTAAGGTCCCTGTGAACCACAGCACTAGTTTCCACTTCAGATTCTGACACAGTTGCTACACTTGCATTCAGTTCCAGCTTCATTAACCACCTACTAAAGAGAAAGCTCAATAGATGGGTTTGTAAAAATTTACTTTAGCCAGAATTTGTAGCAAATATTTTTGTTCCATTGAACAAAAAGGAAATTTCCAGAGGACCTTAAATAATATCAGCTTAAAAAGAAGTTACCTCATTTCAAAAAGAAGAAACCACACTGCGTAATTTCTGCCTATCTCCTAGCATTGGGATTTGTTTAATATATATATACACATACACAGAAATTAACTAAATCAAAACTTCGATTTAATAATGACCCGAAACGAGAAGTTGATTTCATATACAACTACCAAAATTACTCTGTATGTATTCCTGTCCCTGCAATTGCAGCTTTTATTCAATTTTTAGTTCTCAGTTTCAGATTCTAGATGTAGACTTCTACTCGAAAGTTATGAACACTTAATTTTCTAAAAAGATAAGGTATCAGAAATTTAACATAGTTCATTTCTTCACTGCACTCCATCTTTCCTACATTTCTCCCAATAAAATTCCACAAGCACAGGAAAGCCATCGAAATCCTGACAAGCCAGAATTAGCTTCTGGAACAATATGCATTAAAAAAATTCAGGTAAAGAGAAGTTAAGTTTAAAAAAGCCATAACAAAGCAAAGTGAGAACTCATTTGTAATCTTACACAAACAGCTGTCACAAATAAGACTTTTTGGACCAGCACTCCATTTGTCTGTGGAAAGAGCACACCTACTCCAGAGTTGCACCAATAATTTAAGAATCACCTGGGTTCCATAAAATGGTTCAAGCAGTTGAATAATTCAGTATCTAATTTTTACTTATACAAATGCAGAAAGATCAACCACAATAAAGGAAAATGAGATGCAACTGCTTAACGGTATCATGAGATATTCAAGAAAAGAAAAAATCATTTTCTGAAATCAGGAGTAAAATACTTTTAGAAAAATGTCAGGACAGACAACCCTGCAGTCTTTCAGTACAAGCCAGATGCAAGTTTAAATGCAAGACAGACCTGAACTTGCATTAATGACTAAAATTTATTTCTATTTTAACTAGTCATAAGCTAGACCAAAAAATTCAGATAAATACTTAGCTATTGAAATACGACATTAATCTAACTCTTCAACTCTTATGTCAACACATTTGCATTAAGGAGATGAAATGTAGTCAGCACAACCACAAATTTGGGGTTTTTTTTTTAGGACTGGGAAGGAGGAACAAAATGATGAAGAGCGTTTTTAAGTACTTGGAGGAAAGGAAAAATAGCATTTTCAGCTCTTTGGAACCTGCATCATCCCACCTCCATCCTAGTGATCATCTCTCCTGAAACAAAAGATCATTCATCTGGAGTAGTTCATCTCTGCTCCAGCACCAAACACACACTTCACCAAGTGACAACACACCACCTTTCTCTCTCTCCCCCTTGAGTTCCACCGCTTGCAGTCAGAAAAGCAAGAATTAATATCTTTCCCTTCCACTCTTATGAAAACTTTTCAATTCAGTTAGCAAGCAAAATGCCCAAAAAAAGGCACTGCATGACACCTATTAGATGTCTGCCCTGTCAAGATAATCTAACCATTCTGAAAGCACTCATCTTGTAATCGTTCTGTTTAATGCCAGGAAAACACTTTACCTCTGCACCTTCAAATCAGAAAGGGATCGGAAGGGGATTTTTCAAAACTGTTATTAAGACTAAGAACATTTGATGTCAGTTTGACAGCTCTGAACATTCACCCCAGAAAAACTGAGTTACTCAAGTCATATCATTACCTGTAATTTTGTATCCATATGCAGCCAGCTGTCCAGCCATATATTCACCATCTGAGTTATTGTGAGAACATCCCCATGTACGAATCCAGATTTTCTGAACACCAGGAATAATGCTGTTCAGGAAAAATGAATGAAAAAGGCAAGTTAAAAGATGAACAAGTTTCCCCTTTAAGCCCACTGAACAGACTCAATGAACTGTAATTCTTCAAACATAAAATATGCAACACAAACAGTAACAACTCCAAAACAGCTGAGGAAAACCACTATTATTATGTGATTTTAGTGTAACAGGTATTAGGTCTTGCTGGGATAGAGTCAGCTTTCTTCAGAGCAACCTGTATAGTGCTGTGTTTGGTATCTGTGACCAAAGCAGTGTTGATAACACCCCTATGTTTTAGCTGTTGTTGAACTATCCTTGCTTGTTTCCCACTGTGCTCCATCTCACCACAAGTGGGTTGGAGACGGACAACAGGTCGGGAGGAACATGAACAGAATAGCTGACCAAAAGGATAATTCATTTCAGACGACATCATGCTCAGCAATAAAAATTGTGGGTTTGATCTTTCAAAAATAGCCATTGTTCTGACACTGGCTGGGCACCAGTCTGCTTGTGGGAGGTGGCAAATAATCGCTTTTGCATCACTTGGGGTTTTTCCCTACTCTTTCCTTCACTTTAACTGCCTTCATCTCAACCCACAAGTTTTCTCACTTTCACTCTTCCAATCCTCTCCCTTGTGGTGGAGTCAATCCACAAACAGCTGGAAGACAGTTTGAAGAGTTTTAGAATGGAGAAGGTACAAGAGCTGTAGGACAAGAAGAGATTCGGTACACTGTAGTTATGTTAAAGCAAAAACAAAAACCCCAACAAAACCACACAAATAAGCAAATAGCAAACAAAAAACCAAGAAAATAACCCAACAAAACTCCAACACCCCTCAACTTTCTGAAAATTATCCTATCTTGTAACAAGTAACCTTCAAGTAATTGCACTGAAATTAGACCACCAGCAAACAAACTGTGAAGAGTTAAACTGCAACCTTTTATATTATGGTACCCACTGGTTGTAGCTCCCTCCATACAAGCCAGCTTTATAAATTCTTAACTTAGTGGCCACCAGCCACACGAATATCTGAAAGCACATATCCCAATCTTTCTGGGTTACAGAAGGAGCATGACAGACATGCAGCCTGGAGATAGCACACACAGTGCCCAAAGAATCAACAAAAACTTCTGCAAGAAGCTCTCATTGAAATTCCTGGGATAACTGCCAATGAGCTAAAGATGTCAGTACAAGAACACCACACATCCTGGTACACAGTGCTTCGCCCTGCATACATCTTTTTTTTTCCTTCCCCTCCACGCTTCTTTTTTTAAAAGATGCTTCCCTTAGCTAGAAATAGAAATTTGTTGATGGAACATTAATGATCATTAAGTGTAAACACAGTGTATCTAGACTTCCTACTGTCTAAACAACACATGCTCAACGTGCTTTCTTGGGTCAAAAACACTAAAACACAGCTTGTTAGATTCATAGTACCTGCATACTTTGGTGGATGACGTGCTAGTGTGAAGTATCTACAGAGCACCAGTTCAGCTGTACATACACTCCTGGCAGACTGGAGCCAATGCACTTTTAGGGGCATTCAGATAAAGATGCATTGTTATGCTTACAAAATCCCTTTTGAACACTAATGAAAAAACAAAATTTAATTTCCCCACAGGAAATTAAATTCCCGTACCTATTTTATTTTCATCTTTATCATACAGGGAGATTCTATACACCAACTTAAAACTAATGGAGGAAGAAAGAGGAAAAAAAATCCAGATCTCAGAAATGCAGTAGAAATTGGAATCAATAAATGAGCTGACCTATACTCTAATCAATTCCACTGCAGCAGAAAGCTGATTCCATTCTTATGGGAATCACAAGTAGGAAAAATGCAAAGATACATTCCATGGTTATTGCATACTATTTCCACTGAAATAAAACAGCAAGTTCAAAAGTTTGAAGTTTCACCGTTTCACTTGCAGGATGTACACACAAAAAGTACAGCCTCTGGAAATCCCAGGTTCCAGAAAACAGGATGAAAGACAAGCAAGGAATATGTAACCTTTGTTAAAGTGGACCGGGTCAGGAATACTTCAGCAAACTGGGCATGCATAAGTCCCTGGGCACTGACGGGATGCATCCACAAGAGAAATATGGATGTACGGGAGATAGTCCAACAAAGGGCCATAAAGATCATTAAGGAACTGGAACATGTCTCATATGAGGCAAGGCTGAGAGTGCTGGGACTATTCTGCCTGGAGAAGGCCCAGAGAGATCTCATCAAAGTATATAAATACCCAAAGGAAGAGTGCAAAGAAGACAGAGCCAGATTCTTTTCAGTGGTGCACAATGACAGGACCAGAGGCAACAGGCACAAACTGAAACACAGGCAGTTCCCTCTGAACACCTGGAAACGCCTTTCTTGCTTTAAAAATGACCAGCAACTGCCACAAGTTAAGCAGGGAGGTTGCAGAATCTCCATCCCTGGAGATATTCAGAAACTATCTAGTCCAAAAAGCAGTCCTGACCAACTGGCTCTTGGTGGCCCTGCCTGGGCAGGGGGTTTGGACAAGACGACCTTCCAACCTCAACCCTATTGCAGTTCCCAGGATTTTGTTCTTATTTCTCATTAGAGATGCCAAAAGGCTACTCCAGGACTGCTATTTGAAGAGCTCAGATTCTATTTATGTAATTAAGATGAAGCAGACAGTTTTTCAGAAATTTTTTTACATATAAAAGCGTAACAGAAACCATTTTTCCAGTCTGATTATTCCATTCGTCAACATCTCAGTGATTACTGATTTCTACAGAAAATTTACCCAGGAAAATAAATTTGCTTAGGACTTATTACTTATTCTCCCTACATTTTATGAAGACTATTTTACTCATTTTTATCCTGTGTTCAGATTTATGAGATAATGAGAACTTCCACCTTATTTTTAGAAGCTGACAGTGTATACAAGCTGCAAGAAAAGTAACAAGATCGGGTCGATGTAAGACTTTACCTGTCACTTGGGGGATCATCTTCTGTCTGAACCTTTTTTTGTGAATTGCGTTTCCGCACTTTTGGAAAAACATTCCTTCTCACAAACTGTCGGTCGTGTGGTTTCACATCTTCTGCTGACACAATGTCTTCAATATCCTCAAGTACTGAATCACAGGCAGCAGGCATCTTCAAGAAGTGTTAGAGAAGGCAGGCATTAGCAAGCATTGGAATACAAATCCAAGGCCCAGGATCTACTGTATATGTTCTCACAAATAAAAGTCAGATATATTTCTCATATACATGCAATATATCATACACATGAGGGACTGAGCACATAAAAACCGATATCTATGGAGAGGTACTTTCTGATGCCCTCTTCCCCTGATACCTCAAACACAGGCAGGGAGAGTCACAAATGCCATACAGACTTTTAGGGGCATCAAGCACAGGCAAAGACAAAGCCACAAGCCATACAGACTTTTAGAGCCTTTTTAAAATAATCTGTACCTTGTCATCTTCTAGTTCAAAAACCCTTCAGCTCCTCTGACACAACATATCCAAGACACAAGTACTTTTAATCATGTCTGCATCATAATAAAATAATGACTTCATGTTATGTGATGGATGTGCTTCCGCTCACATCACAGAAGAATGAAAGATACAGAATTTAAGCTCCTGCTTCAGAGGCTGTTGTGGCTCTTTTATTTCTATGCTGAAAACAGGTGCATGGTATTTCTTCAAGACAATATGTCTTCACAGTCTTTTTGAAAACAAACCAAACTGTTTCTAGAATTCCTGATCCCACAGGCCTTTCATCTGAACTACCTCATTCATTAGGACAGCAAAATATTTCTATCTTCAGGTACGAGACGTTAAACCTAACTAATATAAAATAAACAGTTTATAATATGGCTAGTATAATATACTAAAAGATCACTAGAATCTAATTATATTTTCCACAAGGAAGTAAATAAATATGCATATATATCCTCCCAGCAGATGTCAAGATTCAGATTAGTTTTCAGGAATTGAAAAAAAAAGTTATTTGCTAAAAGAGCCTATAAAAAGTTATTGCATTAAATACACATTTCACACTGTGCTGTGTGTAACTAACTCTTAATTAGAATATAGTCTGATGTACCATTGGAAACCTGGGGTTTTATGTATCTCAACATTTTACAAAGGAAATCACGCAAGGGCATTTCACAGAGTTTACAGGGAAAATACAACACTTTCCTGTCTCACAGAGAAGAACAAAACAACCAAGGCTTTAATTTCTTTAAAACCAGATTTCAGGAACAGAAGATTCACTACTGGCATAAAGATACTTCCAGATGTTGCAAATGAATTACTGCAGAACATAAGAAGTTAAACACCTGTGCATTTTCCCAGCATGTGTCCTTCAGTCAATCTTTCAAAATATACTTCAAAATAAAACTTCATGTAACCTGAACCAAAACATCTGTGTTTAACTTAAAAAGGAGTAGAATGATGTCACAAAGAGGATGTATGTGCCACAGCAATTTAAACATTCATCTTGATAGAAATCCCAGGATCTATAAAATAATGCAGCAAAGGATGAACAAAAATAAACTGCCGTGAAAAGTCCAGCAATAAAGGGTATGAGGGGAAGGTGACATCTCTTACACTACTTCATACCAGTGACAGGATGTACAAATAGGTAATGTTATCAACTGAGTACATGGGAGGGAAAAAAAAGTTTTGATTTGTTGTTCTTTTCTCTCTTCCAGAAAAATATCCAATATAATGGAGCAGCTAGCAAAGCAAATAAGCTTAGCTTATTCCAGCGGCCCATGAAAGAAAGAATACAGCCGAATTAAAATTCCTACCTTTTTAAGCGAGGTCTAAATCCTCTTGGATAGGAATCCTGGGGGGGGGAAACAAAAAAAAAAAAAGGAAAAAAGACATGGCATGAAGGAGCAAAACTAGAAGACAGAAAACCATGAGTTCACGTCATCGTCCAAGAAGCATTCGTCCTCCCTTTGCAGAAATATGTTTCTTGCTCAGTGTGACCTCATCTGACTGGGTACACGCACTGACTGGCTGACAAGGTGGAACAAGGAGCCATGCTTTCCCTATCCCCTGAGCAGAGGCACTGTTCTTTTTGTCCTTCTCTTATACAGCCATTTTTGTCAAAGTCAGACATATTTACATTATCTCAGACCTCCTCCAGATTTCCATCTTCAATCAGGAGTTTAAACTTTTGAATGAAAGAAGGGAAAGAGATTAACAGTAAATTTTAGGTAAAGCCACCCACAACTTTTTTTTTTTCAATTACAAACACCGTGAAGTTATTTTAAAACAGATAACTCGATGTCTGCACTAGTTAAATACACATGAAAGAAGCAAATAAATAACTACAGATTCTGGCAGCTATTCTGACAGATTGACTGAAATCAGAGGCAAAAACAAAACCAGAAGTTAGTGTATTCTTCTCATAGTACCAAGTTGCACCTACAGAACTTTTAATTTCTCTTTAACAATATGAATGCTAGTAAATAAATAGGGAAAAAAAAAAAAACACAAAAAAAAAAATAATAAAAACGGTTTTAACGCCTTGACACAAACGGAACTCCCCTTGCACCAGCTTATTTCAGTCACCCCTGCTCAACCTCCTTGCACATACCACGGGAGGGCTTTCCACAGAGAACAGTTTCATGCATGTGGAAGGCGACCGCTCTTTTCCCTCTATTTACCCATAGGTGTCTCCGGTAAAGCTCGGGAATGAAATCCCGGGGCAGAAGAAAGCAGTGGCATTAATACACAGCGAGACCAACTATTATATATATGTATGTGTACATGTATATGTGTGTGCGTATACATATACATACAAATACAGCCACCCAGACGGGCCCACCCCAAGCTCCCAGGGAAAGGCTGGGCAAGGGGCAACCCAGGGGCAAGGGGCGGGCGCCTAGGAAAGGAAAGGGAGAGGGAGAAGGAGGAGAGGGAAAGGGTAGAGGGCCCCGTCCGGCTCCGGCCCCGCCACTCACCCGCTCCTCTCCCGGTCTCCGCCATCGCGCCCCGCCCCCGCTGCCCCGCGCGCGCAGCGGCGCCACGACGGCGGCCGGCGGCGGCCACAACGCGGTGGGCGAGGCGCCGCCGCTTCGCCACAAGGCAGCGCCGTCCCTCAGCGGGACGACCGGAGCGCCTCCCGAATCCCTGGAGGCACCCACCTCTGTTTTAACTGGGAAATTAGCTTCGCGTTTCCAGTTAAACCAGTTGGGGTTCTGATGTATCTGATCCAGATGAGTGATGAGCTATTCATTCCTCTTCTGGCCGCAAGGCTTTTTTTTTTTTTATTTTATTTTAATTTTAATCGTTAATTTCCTCAAAATACAATGCTAGTAGCTACTCTTCTGAATAGTCTGAAATATATTGATATTACATAAAAAATATTTAATATGAGATGGTTAAAATTTCTGGCTTTGTTTTCCTCTAATTTCAGGCTAGTAACAACTTTTCTTATTGATATTTAGGAAGCAGACAGATTATTAAGTGTATAGTGTCCTTGGTGATCAAAGTGCTATAGCGTGTGAGCATAATATTATTTCCTCATTATTAATATACACAGCTAGCCTAAAAAGATTGTTTACATTGTATCTTTAACACACTTATTTTATTTTCAGATAGTCAGCTTTGGGGTGTAAAAGTCACCATTTCTTGTAATTGCATTTTGAACATTAAGTTGCTCTCTTTAGAAGGAGCCATTGGAATCATTTTATTCTCCAGATAGCAGATTATAGTATCCCTCGGACTGGAGGGGAAGTGAATGAAAGCCCTGAGTATACTCCAGAACAGGTCTATTGGTCTGCTCACTGATAAAACTTGGCAACTTCTGCTTATGAATATCCCTTCCCCCTCCTTCTACTTAAAAAACGGTGCTTATTTTATGCCATGCTTATCTGACAGTGTTCACAGGCAAAAAAAAAAAAAAAAAAAAGTAACAATGAGAACAAAGTAACAGGAGCATTTTGAAGAAGGGAACTGGGACAGAAAGAAATAAGCACTTTGTTTAAATTGGCCTTTAAGAACAAATCTTTCTGGGCAGGACTGAGCACTATTAATATCACTCTGGCTTCATGGTAGAGTCATTGTTACAGCTTAAGATATATTTGCCTTTGAGACTGGTCTTTGTCTAAGCGCACAAGTACTTTTCAGAGATACTCTCAGCGAGACACAGTGTGATGTGTAATTTGTTATTTTCTGTGGCACTTTTAGCCCAGAAGAGAATGGAGGAAAACATTTCAAAGTCGGTGGTCAGGTTGATCTTTTTCAGACATAGTCCTACACAGTATGGTGTAAGAAGTCCTTACTATGTCAGTAAGTAATGATATCTATATAACCAATCAGTGTCCTACTGAGGTTAGCAATTCTCGTTTTTTCTTTTCAGCTTCCCATATTCAGTTTTCTAAGTGTTTCACATGCAGTCCTGGAATTCAGCTTCTCTATTCTGGGAGCATGGCACTGCACTACCTCACAGTTGTCCTGACTAGCCAAGTGTTACCCCTCTGATTAAATGAAACAGGGCAGACACCAGTGCTGGTTTATGGTTGACTACAAGAGCAAAGCACAGATGGCCTGCGAGACATAACCAAAAATCTCCAAATGGCCAAGATTGACAAACGCTGCTCATTAAGGTTAGGCAGTGATCTCCAAGAGCAGCTCCCAGGCAGGAATAACCCCTGAGTCCCATACCTAGTGACATAATTAGGCCACGCTGATCAGTTTCAGCGTGATCCAGCAGAGGCTTTACTTTGTCCCGCTGCCAAGAATTCATAATATCAAGCAGTCCTTGTTGCCAGCACAGTTCTGTTCAGTCCTAGGATGTAACCACAACGTGGAAGGCACTCTTCCAGTGCTTTTGAAGCTCACAAATCTAAATTATTTTGTAGCATATTCATAGTAACAAATAAAGCTGCATGCAGGCTGCAGGTAGCACAGCAGGTAGAAAAGAAAGCAGATGATTTCCTACTGCCTCCCGATCGCAGGAAGAAAGTTTATCTATACCTACCTGGGAAAACTGCTTTTTAAGTGACAGTGGCTGGCAGTACAACTCCCAGTAGTGGCCTTCATGCTCCAGTGCTCTGAATGTCCAAGGAGCAGCTTCAGAATACATCCTTTCCAAGCTGCCTGCATACCTTACTTCCTGCTCTTCAGAGGTGGTAGAATCGAAGACACCAGCCTTGGGCTGGGGTACCATCTGAAGTCATTACAGGTTTTGCAAGAGTAGGTAGTTGGAACATATAAAAACTACTAGGAAAATAAAATCCAAATCTAAAATTTAGCTCATGGTTAGTAGGAGATACATCCTTAGCTGTTTTAGAGCAGCTCAACTACAATCTTAAGGGAAGGGAAACAGCCAGGGAGGTGAGGGCTCAATTTTTATATGGCAGCCTTATTCTCTGATAACTAACATGTAGTTCTGGGTAGAAATAAGTGGGAAGGTATTGAGGAAAAAATGGAGAGTCCTAAAATAGATACAAGAAATCAGATTTTTTTTCCCTCTATTCTTGGAATTTAGGAGAATCTGGCTCACTGTTTGTGAGCAACATTCAGCACCACTCAGAATTGGTAACAATCCAGCCTGTTATGTGTGAAACTTTCTTCCTGTCAAGTTTTCAAAAGAAAATAGTGGGTTAAGAAACTCCCAGACTTAATAAAGGCAAAGCATTCTGCCGATCATTGCTTAGCTATAGCATAATATCCAGACAGATTTTGCTTCAGCAAGAAAAGCAGAACGGGGAGATGGATTCTACTTGTTTATGCTTTTGTTAGTATCACTCCATTGACTTTGCTATGCAGGCTCTTGGTTCACTTAATCTTGAAAATTGTGGGATCCAGGAACACTAATGGCATTGTGCATTAACTGAGTTACATACAGGGGAAAAGAAAAAGACATATACTGCTAAATTTGATGCTTCTGAACATGTAGCAATATCTCATGCTACAAAAGGTACCTTACATGTCTACTTTCTTTCTACAACAAAATTGTTCATATATGCTTCAAGATCATGATGTAATTTACTCTTTCAGGTGTAAGTCAGAAAGAGAAAGTGATGGTGTCTTGTCACTTGTAGGTGGATGAATTCTTACTGTAGGTTCAAGAGCATGAAACCCCCCCTTTCCCCCCCCCCCTTTTTTTTTAAACTCTTTTCCTGTGTGTAAAGGAGTAAACAGTTGCCTGTCATTCAGACCAGTTTTGACAGATTTCTCTGAAACCTCTTCCGTCTGCTGGCAGCTGAGGAACTCAGCACAGAGGCCCCAGTAAAACCTCCCTGAAACAAATACTTGTACACTGAATAATGTTAAGGTACACCTCAATTCAGGTCAGAGGAGCAGAATTTTAATTTAATTGGCTGGTTTTTTAGCCTGTACCTCAGCACATCCTAACTTTGCAAAGCAGATATAAAAAGCAAAAGAGAGAGAAAATGACACAAAAACTGGTAATTAGTAGCAGATTCTAGGGGCAAATAAGAAAGTGCTTCTGGCAGTTGTAGAACAGAGAAAGTGAGAACAGACCAGGGAGCTATGGCAGATAGGACAGATAGAGATTGTAATTTCTGCTTCAAAGGGAGATCAGAGAACACAGTCCTCTAGCCCTCCTTTATTATTTATTAGGAATATACACAGGATCTTTGCAATCTTCCTTTCAGTACTTTCTCCTACATGCAGAAGTTAGAATATGTACAGGTGCATGGTGAGAAAACAGGAGCTTCTCCTAGTGTGCAGAAGTTGACAAGACACATAAGGCTTGCTCAGAAGTGCAACATTTAAGCAATCAACCATTTACTTTGATTTTATGGATGGCCATGTATCTAGAAAGGTGCAGCACCAAGACCAGAAAGGATGTACGAATTTGTAAATGTAAGTCTGGTGCAAGAGACTGTTGGTGGTGACTCAAGAAAACAGAAATTCTTTTCAGAGCTATTATTAGGAAACTTTTGGAGAATTATCAGTAGGAAGGTCAAGCAGAACTGCATTGATGCGATTTAATCCTAAAATAACACAATTTCTATGAAGTTTGCAAGAAGTCTGTTTCTAACTCATATGGGAGGAGAGGGGATAAATAAACTTGTGTTATCCCAACCTCTGGATTTCCTACTGTGTCTCTGTACATGTGTCTTTTATTCTTGTTTCACTCTGGCTTAAAAAACCATGAAAAACTTATTGTTGGTATAATAAAAAATGGGATTGAGACTATCTGGTGTCAAATGAGTGTGAGCCCTAATAATGAAAATAGGAACAGGTTTCAAGAAACAGCATGATAGGTACCAAGAGTAAGAAGAATTTAAATAGGTGTACACAAATCTAAACTCTTTAAAAAACTCCTTTTTATTGATTCATTACCATACAAAATTTATTCAAATTACATCCATTTGAAGTGGTAAGATCACAGCTAGAGAACAGGTCACCCTTTAATAAATCTATTTACAAAACTCACCATAAAAGCTATTTTTGTTGTTTTTTTTTCTTTTTGTTTTTTTACAGTATTTTACAGGTTTGTGGTTTTGTTTTTTTTTTTAAACTAGCATACAATGCAAAGCTAAATTAGATTAGTATTTCATTTGTACAAAAAAAAAAGATGGTCTGCATTAGTCTTCATTTTCTCTTCCCTCGCAAAAGTGCCCCTTTGTCTCGCAAAATCTTCGTGCTCACACAACTTTTATTTTCCTCTTCCACAAGACAAAAAACTTTAAATACTACAATTTTATTTACAGATCCACATCTAAAAAAAACTCTTAAAAAATTACAAACCAGCTAGAAAATATTCTGGCAGTGTTTACAAATTAATTCTATTGTACAAAACTGCTAGATAACTAAAGTGTGAGTTGAGAACATATATCAAATTAAATACAACTGCTGAATGATCTATGCAAACATTTGTACATATAAACACACACTTAACACTGTTTAACAGTTCTTTATGTGTTGCCCTTTATACATGTTATATTCCAAAACTCACACAGTCATACAGTTTTCTTATTAGTACTGTGACTTCTTGCCTTTTCATGTGTGAGCTTTCATAGCAGCAACTC